GGAGTGCAGTGGCATGATCTTGGCTCACTGCAACCTTTGTGCTCAGATGACAGGTGCCCACCCCCACGCCCAGCTAATTTTTGCATTTTTAGTAGGGAAAAGTTTTCACCATGTTGGCCAGACTGGTCTTGAACTCCTGACCTCGTGATCCGTCCGCCTCAGCCTCCCAAAGTGCTGGGATTACAGGTGTGAGTCACTGCGCCCGGCCTTTTTCTTTGTTTTAAAGACAATGGTACACTACATTGCGCAGGCAGTAGTGTAATGGCCTGATCGCGGCTTACTGCAGCCTCAACCTCAGGCTCAAGTGATCCCCCCACCTCAGCCTCCCAAGTAGCTGGAACCACAGGCACATGCCACCACGCCCAGTTAATTTTTCCTTTTTTGTAGAGATGGGGTCTCCTTAGGTTGCCCAAACTGTTCTTGAATTCCTGGCCTGAAGCAATCCTCCGTCCTTAGCATCCCAAAGTGCTAGGATTACGGGTGTGAGCCACTAGCCCAGCCTAACGTATATTTTTTTTTATTGTGGTAAAATTTAGCAATTTAACAATTTTTTTTTTTTTTTTTTGAGACGGAGTTTCACTCATGTTACCCAGGCTGGAGTGCAATGGCGCGATCTCGGCTCACCGCAACCTCCACCTCCTGGGTTCAGGCAATTCTCCTGCCTCAGCCTCCTGGGTAGCTGGGATTACAGGCACGCACCACCATGCCCAGCTAATTTTTTGTATTTTTAGTAGAGACAGGGTTTCACCATGTTGACCAGGATGGTCTCGATCTCTTGACCACGTGATCCACCCGCCTCGGCCTCCCAAAGTGCTGGGATTACAGGTGTGAGCCACCGCGCCCGGCCTTTTTTTTTTTTTTGGAAACCCCGTCTTAAAAAAAAAATAAAAATAAAAAGTGGGAAACTTTGCAGAAGTTGAGGTGGATAAATTAGGAGTTTGTTTTGGGACATGTTAAGTTTAATATACCTATTAAACATCCAGCCGGGTGCGGTGGCTCAAAACTGGGCGCGGTGGCTCAAGCCTGTAATCCCAGCACTTTGGGAGGCCGAGGCAGGTGGATCACGAGGTCAAGAGATCGAGACCATCCTGGTCAACATGGTGAAACCCCGTCTCTACTAAAAATACAAAAAAATTAGCTGGGCATGGTGGCGCGTGCCTGTAATCCCAGCTACTCAGGAGGCTGAGGCAGGAGAATTGCTTGAACCCAGGAGGTGGAGGTTGCGGTGAGCCGAGATCGCGCCATTGCACTCCAGCCTGGGTAACAAGAGCGAAACTCCGTCCAAAAAAAAAAAAACATCCAAATAGACAAAATGAGGCTGATGTTCAGAGAAAATGTGTGGGTTGGAGAGAAAATTTGAGAGCCATCAGCATATACATGGCATTTAAAATTATGAGATTTGGGCCGGGTGTGGTGGCTCACGCCTGTAATCCAAGCACTTTGGAGGCCACGGCGGGCGGATCACCTGAGGTCGGGAGTTCAAAACCAGCCTGACCAACATGGTGAAACCCCATCATAATTAAAAAATAAAAATAAAAAAATAAAACTATGAGATTTGTAAGATAGCTCATGCCTGTAATCTCAGCACTTTGGGAGGCCAAGGTGGGTGGATCACTAGAGGCCAGGAGTCCAAGACCAGCCTGGGCAACATAGTGAGGCATTGCTATGGAAAAATTAAAAGTAAAGCAACACAGAGAGACCTCATCTCTATTTAAGAGAATAATAATAATAGCTGGGCTTGCTGGTGCATGACCGTAGTCCCGGCTACTCAGGAGACTGAAGCAGGAGGATCACTGGAGTCCAGGAGGTCAAGGCTGCAGTGAGCCATGATCGTGCCACTGCCCTTCAGCCTGGGCAGCTGATATGGTTTGGCTCTGTGTCCTCATCCAAATCTCATCTTGTAGCTCCCATTAATTCCCACATATTGTGGGAGGGACCTGGCGGGAGATGATTGAATCATGGGGGCGGGTCTTTCCCATGCTGTTCTCAAGATAGTGAATGGGTCTCAACAGATCTGATGGTTTTAAAAACAGGAGTTTCCCTGCACAAACTCTGTCTGCCGCCATGTGAGACATGCCTTTCACCTTCCTTTGTGATTGTGAGGACTCCCTGAACACGTGGAACTGTGAGTCCAATAAAACTCTTTCTTTTGTAAATTGCCAAGTCTCAAGTATGTCTTTATCAGCAGTGTGAAAACAGACTAATATTGTTACAACCAAGTGAGTTACAAGGAAAGAGCCATACTCTGAGTTCCAACTGAGGGTACTTTATTGCCCTGGACTGAGTCAGCTCCTGTTCGAAATCTCTCGGCCCCGAGGAAGGGGCTTCATTCCTTTTTATACCTTGCTTAAGAAAGGGGAGGGGGAGCCTAGCTGAAGCAGAATTTACAGAAGCAGAACAATCAAGTTAGATAAAAAGACTGGTAACTAGGAGGCAGGAGGTTCCCATGATTGCTGGTTACCAAGGGGGGTATTCAGTACTTGCCATACAATCAATCAAGAGGGTATTCACAATAGCAAGTGGGCTTGCCAAGCAGGATATGGTTACAATGGTTATATGTCTCTATAGTTCTAAGCACAGCATGACTCAGCACAGTAGCATGACCCAGGGAGAAATGGCATGAGCAGTGAGTTGGAGGTTAAGATGGAGTCTGTCTGTCTCTCAACAAGATGGAGTCTGCCAGGCTAACACAGGGTAGGTTAGCACAATATGATGACAGAGTAAGAGCCTGTCTTAAAAATAAAATCATCTGGGCATGGTGGCTCGAGCCTGTAATCCAGCACTTTAGGAGGCTGAGGCAGGTGGATCACCTGAGGCCAGGAGTTCAAGACCAACCTAGCTAACATGGTGAAATCCCATCTCTACTAAAAATACAAAATTAGCCAGGTGTGGTGGTGGGTGCCTGTAATCCCAGATACTCAGGAGGCTGAGGCAGGAGAATCACTTGAACCCAGGAGGCAGAGGTTGCGGTAAGCCCAGATCACACCACTGCACTCCAGCCTGGGCAATAGAGTAAGTCTCCATCACAAAAAAAATAAAAATAAGATAAAATGAAATAAAATACATCAAAAAGGAGGACACCAAGGGCTGAACCCTCTCCCAGGGAATGTCCCATTCCGGCAACAAGAAGGTGGTGAGAAAACAGCAAACACTGAGGAGATGCCAGTGATCAGGGAAGAAAGTCAGGAGGGCATGATGTCCTGGGAGCCAAAGAAAGTGTTTGAAGGGGCCAGGCGCAGTGGCCAATTTTCAATTCTTGTTTTACATCTGCATCTTATTTGATACAGTTGACCATTTACTCTGAGGTGATTTTCCTCAAAATCACCTGAGGCCAGGAATTCAAGACCAGCCTGACCAACCTGATCAACATGGTGAAACCCTGTCTCTACTAAAAATACAAAAAAAAAAAAAAAAAAAAAAAAAAATAGCTGGGTATGGTAGTGCAAGCCTGTAATCCCAGCTACTCGGGAGGCTGAGGCAGGAGAATTGCTTGAATCCAGGAGGCAAAGGTTGCAGTGAGCCAAGAGTGAGCCACTGCACTCCAGCCTGGGCAACAAGAGTGAAACTCTGTCTCAATATATATATTTAAATATTTATATGAAATATATATTATATATATAAAGAAAGTGTTTGAAGGAAGAGGAAATGGTCAATTGTGTCAAATAAGATGCAGACATAAAACAAGAATTGAAAATTGGCCATTCTTCTTGGCGACCTTAAAGTTATTTCTGGGTGGGCGCGGTGGCTCCCACCTGTAATCCCAGCATTTTGGAAGGGCGAGGCGGGCGGATCACCTTAAGTCAGGAGTTCGACACCAGCCTCGCCAACATGGCAAAACCCCATCTCTACTAAAAATACAAAAACTAGTCGGGCGTGGTGGTGCGCACCTGTAATCCCAGCTACTCGGGAGGCTGAGGCACGAGAATCGCTTGAACCCGGGAAGCAGAGGTTGCAGTGAGCCGAGATCACACCACTGCACTTCAGCCCGGGCGACAGCGAGACTCTGACGGAAAAAAATAATAAACTAAACAAAGAAAGTTATTTCAAAGAATTGTCTGAGAGGTAAAAATGTAACTGCAGTGAGTTCAAGAGAGAAGGAGAAGAGGGGAGTCGGAGACTGTGAGAAGGCAGCGCTTTTGCTGTAAAGGGGAGTGGGGAAACAGTGAGGGATCTAGCGAGGGTCGGTTTTTGTTTGCCTTTGGGATGGGAGAAATAGCAATAGGGATGATGACGGGATAATGCAGTCATCAGAGGGAAAAGAGATGAAGGGGGGATTACTAAATCTATGTCCTTAAGCAAACAAGAGGCGATGGGATCTACCGCACAGGTGGAGGGGTTGACTTTAGCTAAGATGCAAAGTATGTGGGCTGTGGAATCTCTCTTCTAAACGCAGTGGAACTCAATCCAGGCTGTCTCTGGATTTCTCCAGACCACCTCCAGCTAGCGTTGTTCTGAGCTGGGCCACCGAAAGTTGAGATTACTGAATGTCTGTCTCCCACCAAGCCGGGAGCCCTCGATAGGCTGCGTCGAAGTCGCCTCTAAATTCCTTATTCCTCCAAACTCTGGGCCAGAGTATGGGCTTATAGAATTAGTCCGAAGAGACACAAAGCAGCTGCTACGCAGCTGGTTTCACAAAGGGGGGCGGTCCTAACCCTAAGTTCTGGGATCCTGACGTTCGAGCGGTCTCCCCTCCTCCCCTCTGCTCCCAGTTCTCCGCCGTCCAGCTAGCCGGGTGATATCGTCCACAGGAGCCACCGTACCGGACGTCTGCGGACACTGATAAAGTCAAGCTTGGTGGAGGTGCAGTCTCAGGACAGGACTGAATGACGATTGAACTGAGGGTTCAGGGGCGGAGTTTAAGGGCGAACTCGGGACAGAGACTGGACAGAGTCGAGGGAGGCGGGGTCTAATGATGAAGCGGGGCGGGGATTGTGCTGAGGGCGGTGCCGGCGCGAGGATTGGGCCGAGCGCCTCGGGGGCGGTGCTTGAGGGGGCGGTGCCGTGTCGGAAGTCAAAGGTCAGTAAATAGTGGTGATGTCATGCAGGCAAGATGGCGGAAGGGTGAGCTCGTCGTTTTGCTCCTAGACACTAGGGCCTGAATTTTCCTAGGGTTGGGGTGCTGGGGCAGAGTCCCTGTAGGGAACATGAGATCAGCGCGGGCGCAGACCGACCTGAAAGGGCGGAGTGGAGTCGCATTGTGAGGGGGTGGGAAAGTGGTCGGCGAAGCCTCGGCCCACGGGGTACATCTGAAGGGAAAGAGACCGGATCCTTGGGCGGGCAGGAATCTCACCGCGGGGCTGCCAGATGTGTCTGTCTTCCACAGGGAGGACGTGGGATGGTGGCGGAGCTGGCTGCAGCAGAGCTACCAAGCAGTCAAAGAGAAGGTAAGCTGGGCCCGTGCCTTTCTTCCCTCGCCAGGGCCCTGCGCTGCCTCAATGCAACCTGGTCCAACCAGCCCCGCCCAACTTTTGCGGGCGCTGAGTCTCAAGGATGAGGCTGACCTGCCAGGGCCTTTCTTTTAACCTATACCAGTCCACGGGAAGACAGACTCGATCGCAAACCAGTGTGATACTAGCCACAATGAAATAAAGATGGTTTTAAAGGCTGGAGTTAACGAACGTTTTGTAGGAATCTATAGGAAGGAGAAATTTATTCCAGCTCGGGAAATTCACAGCTTTGTGGAAGAGAGAACTTTTGATATAGGTCTTGAAGGAAAATATTCTAGCAATAAAAAAAAAAAAACTTACTTGTATGGTCATTCAAATATTAGAGTATATGCGACAACCAGCACTCTGGTATGTCTTGAGGATACAGACTTCAGCCAAACAGATGTAATCCTGGGCCTTACAAAGCTCACAGTCTAGTGGGGAGACAGCCATTCACCGAGTAGCCAAACAAATAGTTGTTTAGTTACCGTTGTGGTAAGTTCTGTGAAAGGAAAGTACAGGGGCACTTTGTCTATTCTGAGTCAAGAACTCACCAGGGGAAGGCCTCTGTGGAGAAGGAACCTCATCAAAGCCAACCCTGCCTAGACAGGATGAAAAGAACTTAAGCTAGCGATGAGCATGAGCCATACACACTGGTGCCTGATTAGTCATAAGTAAGGGCTTTGCAAAGAGCGATAGAGAAAGATTAATCACCAGAGAGTAGAGGGCCTTGACTGGCTTGCTGAGCAGTCTCTGGGATGAATGATATTTGGCTGTGCCATTGGGTAATGCCAGTGTGTATTCCAGTCTCATTTCATGCTTGTCAAAATCAACCCAACTGAACTGTGGGAAAAGTTGATTACTATTTACCTCAAGCAATTGGGGTGAGTCCTGCTTCAGGGCTGACTCCGGGAAGCTTCTTACCTCACCTAAATAAATCCCCTACTCTGGGAGTATTTTTATTTTGTTTTGAGACAAGACTCTCACTCTGTCACCTAGGCTAGAGTGCAGTGGCAGGGTCTCAGCTCACTGCACCTCTGCCTTCTGGGTTTAAGCAATTCTTGTGCCTCAGCCTCCCAGGTAGCTGGGATTACATGCATGTGCCACCGCTCCTGGCTAATTTCTGTATTTTTAGTAGAGATTGGGTTTTGTCATGTTGGCCAGACTGGTCTTGAACTCCTCACCTCAGGTGAGCCACCAGCCTCAGCCTCCTATAAAGTTCTGGGATTACAGGCATGAACCACCACACCCAGACGTCTGGGGGTGTTTTTATTCCTCCCCTAGCTAGCCTGGGGACTCCTTGACAGCCTCTCAGCAGTAACCCAGCAAATCTGAGAATGCCCTGAGCTGTTTATGTTGCTGATAAGGACTAAGAGAGAGGATTAACATTTGATAGAGACCCTGAAAGTAGCGTGCTACCTGCTGGGTAATTTCCTAGCAGGGAAGTCTGACATTCATTCAGCAAATGTTGCATAAGGACCTCCTGTGTTTCTCTCAACGTTGGTCTTAACATAACTTAAGAAAAATAGATAATTGGCCAGCATTCCATCTTAATTCTTGGGGAATTCCCAGTTAAAAGCTGGGGTGGGGTTGGAGATAGTTGTTTATGCCTTTTTGGAAAGAGAAGACTTAATTTCCCCTTTTTTATTTTCTTACTCTTATATGTCCTTGGGCAAGTTTTTTGTTTTGTTTTGTTTTTTGAGATGGAGTCTGGCCCTGTCACCCAGGCTGGAGTGCAGTGGTGTTCACTGCAACCTCCGCCTCCTGGGCTTCCAGGTTCAAGCAATTCTCCTGCGTCAGCCTCTCAAGTAGCTGGGACTACAGGCATGTGCCACCACGCCAGGCTAATTTTTATATATTTTTTAGTGTAGACAGGGTTCACCATGTTGGTCAGGCTGGTCTGGAACTCCAGACCTCAGGTGATCCACCTACCTCGGCCTCCCAAAGTGCTAGGATTACAGGTGTGAGCCGCCACGCCTGGCCTCTTGGGCAAGTTTTTAAACCTCTAGGCCTCAGTTTCTCATCTGTAAAATGGGGATACTAAGAATACTTAATGAGATTGTAGTGAGGGTTAAATGTTAATATATGTAAAACACTAAGAACAGTACCTAGCATACAGTAAGTGCTATATAAGCATTAGCTGTTACTTATTAAGTGCTCAGGCTGATGGGAAAAACCTCTTAGATACCACCACCAATCTGTTTTTTCTTTTCATTTCTTTTTTTTTTTTTTTTTTTTTTTTTGAGACGGAGTTTCGCTCTTGTTACCCAGGCTGGAGTGCAATAGCGCGATCTCGGCTCACCGCAACCTCCGCCTCCTGGGTTCAGGCAATTCTCCTGCCTCAGCCTCCTGAGTAGCTGGGACTACAGGCACGCGCCACCATGCCCAGCTAATTTTTTGTATTTTTAGTAGAGACGGGGTTTCACCATGTTGACCAGGATGGTCTCGATCTCTTGACCTCGTGATCCACCCGCCTCGGCCTCCCAAAGTGCTGGGATTACAGGCTTGAGCCACCGCGCCCGGCCCCTTTTCATTTCTTTCTTGGTCTTTTGGTGCTTTCTTATTTTTATGTCCCATTCTAGCTCCATCTGGACCACTCACTTCTCGGCACTCCTTAGAATACATTGCCCTGGAGACCACAGCTATGAGATGGTGCTATTATCTGCTTTCCTCTGCTCCTGACTTCTTCCTGTGTATTGTCGAGGGCAATATGACTGACACAAATACTTGTGCATACACATTGTTAGAGAAAGTTACATCGTTGCTCTATATACTTACCAGAAAGAAAAAATTAAAAAGAGAAAGGCACATTGCTCTTTGGTTCCATCGCAGATTCCCCACCCTCATCTGGGCTCACATACTCTTCAGCCTCCAATTTGCTTCTCCTCCCCTTAACTTCAGAAACTTTCCCAAAACCTCTCTTCCCTCAGGTCCCCTACTTAGCCACTTTATTCCTTTCACTTCCAGGAGACAACCTTGTTTACTTTTTGAAATTTGAGGTCAAGAAACAGGATCTTTAACTCCCTCCCCACCGTGGAAGCCACCGCCTATAAACTTATCTATTCTCACACTCAGCTTCACCTACTGGTTGCCAAATCCAGTGGGTGGTTTTCAGCCCTTATCTTCCTGGAGCTTTCTGCTACATTTGACACTAGTGATCACTCCCTTTCTTGAAACTCTACTCTCTTGGCTTTTGTAACATGATTCTTTTCTAGCCCTCAGTCAGCATACCTGTTCAGTTACCAAATCCAACTTCTTCTTCTTACTATCTCTTGAACCAGTCTCATACTCTCCATCTTTACTAGCACTATATTCATATTATTCTTTTTTTTTTTTTTCCTGGATTTTTGCAGTAGCCTCCTGACTGGTCTTCCTTCCTCTTCTGATCTTCTCACCTCTGAACCTTTCCTCCATTCCAGTCACTGGAGTGATTTATTGAAAAGACAAATCTCATGTCCCACCCACTTCAAACCTTTGGTGGCTCCCCATCATCCATAGGGCTGATCCTGGTTGCCATTTGCCTCTCCAGCTTTATTCGTCACCACTCCTGCTTCACATTTTATGTCCATCAGGACTGTAATGTTTGTAGGCGTCAGTAAACCCCATGTCAATATTCCTTAGCTAACTCCTGTTCTGTTTTGTTTTGTTTTGTTTGAGACAGGGTCTCACTCTCCAGGCTGGAGTGCAGTGGCATGATTACAGCCCACCGCAGCCTCGACCACCCGTTCTCAGGTGATTCTCCCATCTCAGCTTCCAGGGTAGCTGGGACTACAGGCGTGCACCACCACACCTGGCTAATTTTTTTTTTTGTGGTTTTGCCATGGTGTCCAAACTGGTCTCAAACTCTTGGTCTCAAGCAGTCCTCCTGCCTCGACTTCCCAAAGTGCCGGGAGTACGGGCGTCAGCCACTGCACCTGGGCCCTGTCAATACTTTTTGACTAACTCCTTTTCATTCTTTAAGGGTCCATTCGAGGTCTCCAGCCACCACATCTTCCCAACCTCCCCATAGTACAGTGGCTGCTGCTCTGCCCTTGCACATCAGCACCATTATGGGAGCATTTTCCCCAGCAGACTGTGACCTGCTTGAGGGCAATGTCTGTTCCTATTGTCTGCTCAGAGCTCACAGTCTAGCGGGAAGACAACCATTTACTAAATAGTCACATAAATGGTTACATAATTGAAATTTCGGTGGTCCATGTAAATTTAACAAACATTTTTTGAGCACCTACTATATGCTCTGTGTCAGACGCTGGGGAACCATGAGGGAACAAAACACATAGGATATGTGTTCACAGAACTCACAGTTTATCCAGGAAGGCAGACATTGAACAGGTCATCATAAGTCAAAAGTATGATAAATGTTAAAGAAGAGATAAAGCAGGGAGAGGCAGCTGAGCCTGAGGAGGCAGCAGGGAAGCTTCTTTAGGGAAATGAAGCATAGAAGCATAGACCTTAAGGATGAACAAGAGTTTTCCAGGTAAAAGGGTTCCTTCATTGTGTTTGCCCACTTGTTTATTTTGAAGAGTTAGAACTCTGTATCAGGGAGAGGAAATTATGTGTTAAGATACCCTGAGGCAGGGCAGATACTAGGGCATTTTAGAAACTTGAGGAAGGCCAGCTGGAGCTCAGTGAAGGGCACAGTGGCAGGGGATGCATGTCTGCCAGAGGTCAGGTTATATAGGCCTTGTAAGTAAAGGTGGATTTTCAACTTGCTCTTAGGATAGTGTGTAAACTTCAAGAGTGTAAAGCAGCGTAATCTGCCCTGACAGACAAAGCACGCACTGGGTGAAATAAGGAGAATGAAGTCAAGGTAGCTGAGACAACCTGGGAGGAGTCCAGATGAAAGAGCAAGTTGGCCTGGACTAAGGTGGTAGCAGTGTGGATGGAAAGAGTGAATCGGTAAATGACCTGAGGCACAATTTTATGGTACCATGAAATATTTTTAAATTTTTTAATAAAAATAAATGACTCCTCCACCCCCAATTAAGGAGTCCTGAGTCAATTGGAGGCATGTTTACCACCTCCAGAGAAGCCTGTAGCTGATACCTGAGACTGTCCCATTCAGAAACTTTCCAAGCTAATGAAAGTGGGCAGGCCCTTCCCAGAAGAACAAACCACAGGAGTGCTCAAAAACATGCTTTAAAAAAAATGCAGATGATGGCCAGGTGGTGGTTCACATCTGTAATCCCAGCACTTTGGGAGGCCGAGGTGGGCAGATCACGATGTCAGGAGTTCAAGACCAGCCTGGCCAACATGGTGAAACCCCATCTCTACTAAAAATATTGCCAGGTGTGGTGGCAGGCGCCTGTAATCCCAGCTACTTGGGAGGCCGAGGCAGAAGAATTATTTGAATCTGGGAGGTGGAGGTTGCAGTGAGCCGTGATCGCATCATTGCACTCCTGTCTGGGCAACAAAGCGAGACTCCATCTCAAAAAAAAACCATGCAGGTGATTATCCCTGTGTAAAATGAGAGGGCTTGCTGGGAGAGCGGCCACTGAGATACTCCAGGAAGGCATCCTAGAGTGGGTGAATCTGAAGCAAGACAGGGCAAAACCTAGAAGTAAGCTGAGGGCCTGCTATCTCAAGTGAGGTCTGGGTGCAGGCTGAGAAGCAGATTGGTTTAACAGAAACAAATATGAATTCTGCCCAAAGGAGCTTTGTATGTGAATAGAACCTTGGGATGGTAGAACCAAGAAGGCCTCCAAGAGAATCTGATCTAGTCTTTGTTTTGACCGCTTCCTCCCTTTACTAAATGTAAAAATCACAAGTCGTTTTACTGATATTAAATTGTTAAGAATTATTCATGTGCTCGCTTCGGCAGCACATATACTAAAATTGGAACTATATGGAGAAGATTAGCATGGGCCCTGCCAAGGATGACATGCAAATTCGTGAAGTGTTCCATATTATTATTTTTTTAATTTATTTTTTAAAAGTAAGTAAAATAAGAAAAATAAATAAAAAGAATTACTCATAAAAGCTTTCTAAGCTATTGCTGTTACTAATACATTTTCTTAAACCTGAAGGCAAATAACTCCATATACTACCTCATATTTCAACTGAATTTCCCTGAAACAAAAAAGTAAAAATAGAAATACTTTCCTTTGATAAAAAAAAAAACACATACCTTTTTTTATGTTATTTGAAACCTGATATGAATATCATGATTTAAAGCATATCAAAGCAATTCATCGAAGTCAGTATTATTTTCAGACTATGTCCCCACTTCCCCAGTTTGCTATTGAGAATCTCTGATCTGGGTAGGTCACCTCCCTCATTTTATAGGAGAAAAATGAGAACTAGATGAGACTTACTCATGGCCACATAGCTTGTGAGTGCCTAGGCTGAGACTCAGTCCTCATGCTCGGAGTCGCAGGAACTTCCCCTGTGCTCTCTGCTGTCAGGTAATCCCAAACCATGGAATTGGGACAAGTGAGCATTGTTTCTGAGCCCAAGCTCCCATGCCATTTGAGATTTCCCTGTGTCTGTCTGGTACTGAAGAAGCACAGGGAACAGGAACAAGGGGTGTTGAAGTTAGTTGGCCCTGGCATCCCTCTCTGTCTTCCCATAGTCCTCTGAAGCCTTGGAGTTCATGAAGCGGGACCTAACAGAGTTTACCCAGGTGGTGCAGCATGACACGGCCTGTACCATCGCAGCCACAGCCAACGTGGTCAAGGAGAAGCTGACTGTGAGTACCACCCAAACCCTCACAAGTAACTGCCCCTTGCAACCTGTCCTGCCCTGGGCTCTCAACCTTTCTACCATTAGGTGATTATTTTTCCCTATGGGGAAAAATATGCAGATTATTTTTCCTCTCATTTTGAAAGAATTGTGTCTGGCAGCCAAACAAATTTTTTTTTTTTTTTTGAGACGGAGTTTCGCTCTTGTTGCCCAGGCTGGAGTGCAATGGCGAGATCTCAGCTCACTGCAACCTCCACCTCCTGGGTTCAGGCAATTCTCCTGCCTCAGCCTCCTGAGTAGCTGGGATTACAGGCATGCGCCACCATGCCCAGCTGATTTTTTGTATTTTTAGTAGAGACGGGGTTTCACCATTTTGACCAGGGTGGTCTCGATCTCTTGACCTCGTGATCCACCCGCCTCGGCCTCCCAA